TTGGACGAAAACATTCAAAATTTAAAATATTTTACGAGTAAAGCTAAACTATCTTTTCAAAGCATTTCTATAATGCCAGAGACAAATTTAGCTCCTAATATGGTTTGAATTACTGAATGGGAATACTATAGACGCTCACGAAACACAAATCAACCAATATTTGTCCTTATAATAACCCAGCATGACAGCAGTCGTGGGCGAATATATTTTCATTGTCTGTAATATACAGGTCAATGCATATCAAAGACATGCTGCAATAAATAACTAAAATAAGCAATGATATCGAAACATTAAAAAGGGAAAACCCATCGAGTATTTATGTGTAGATCTGATTAGTTACATAGAAAACTTTATTTTAGTAAAATACAAAACTTCTGACAGCAAGCGGTCAAAAGGAGACTTTGACAGCAAGCGGTTAAAAGGAGACTACTCAGTCTATTCTTCGGCAAACGACAAAATGAATATCAAATGCTTATGAACAGACATGAAAACCAGGCCGTATGCACAAGCTTAACCACATAGTGGTAAATAATATCTTACGGTGCCCGACAGTGATTGTTTAATATTATACACGATTTATATATGAGTAAAAATATCCTGCAGTCTCAGTTTGCTTTCGGTCTCAAAAAATCCTTTAAACTACGAAAGAGAGTTGTGCAAGAAGTTAATATTTTTAACCGCTGCATACAAACAGAAACAATCGCTTTAACAATGGAAAAATATGAAGATGTATAACCGGAATATTATTTGTGTAATAATGGCCACCGGCGTACATCGATGTTATAATAACTAATTATCATATTACAAAACGATGCTAATATGTAGTATTTGATTGTATATGTTGAATAAGTTGTAAATAAATCAACACTGAACAACTGACAGAGCAAGACCCAAAAGATAGCATGAAAGAATTAACGACATTGACTTCAACTTTTGGGTCTCGTTTATAACCGGTTAACCGCATCAAGTCCTTCACAAGTATGTAGGTATTTTGGTGTTTGTTCACTGTAAAAACAATATCCATTAGGAAACCAACAATGATATCGTGTTAAAAAACTTACAGAGCATGACCATGCAACTCTTGAGATGGCCGCTAGGCTACCGCTTAACAGTTAATAGATTGTCACTTTGTCGTTTGCAAAAGCTCAAATGCTTTGCTTTGGTGTCTTTTTTCTTAATTTAAGAAAATATTTTAATTCTTGCTTTGATTAGCGTATTTGTCGTGGTGATTGACAATTGAGTAGTTCTTCAAAGAACAGTTGAACACCAAAATGAGCATATTACATAAAATTAAAATGACACGATGCATTTCGGCAAACTGCACCATAATTTTATAACTATCTTCATTTCAGTTTTCTACAGTTCTTAAGAACTACTTAAATTGTCGTTCACCATGACAAATACGTTAATCAGAGCAATATTAAAGTTCGTGACCACAATAAAGTCTTTGTTTTATAAAAAAAATGTAATTTCCCTAAAACGTCATTGGAACTCATGCAATTGTCTAAATTCAAATCTGACTTTGCAATATTGTGCAGTCACTTTAATCTCTTCCCATACAGGCTATATACACAGTAATAGATTTCTGAAATGTGATTTCCCTACAACATCATTGGAATTGAAGTGCGTGAAAGCTGACTTTGCAATAATTTGAGAGCAATGAGCTGCCTGAATTACTTATTACTTATTTTCAAAAACAGACGAGTTGTTTTTTTTATAGTAACTAACTAATTTGCAATTCTATATAGCTATCAAATAATTTTATGTTCTCGAACAAGTCATGGAGTTCATCTTTGAACAAAGAATGCAATATTGTCAAAAAAATACATATCCAATCGTATTTAGCTGTAGTAATGAAAAAAAATGATATAAATGTAGCTTTAAAATTTTGTAACATGCAAATAGTTAACTGGATATATAGCCACCGTAGCACACCATAATCCATGACAAACAAAATTATCAAAATCTACAACAAGCGCTACAATGCGTGTTTGCTCTTCCTATTTTAAAAATATAGCCACGTAAACAATTTGACACATCTTTGTTGCCCGGCTATATAAAACAATCAAAAGAAAAATTTACCGCGGAATTTGCCAGCAGCAAATCAACAATTACATCTCAATTAAATAGCTATGTAACTTGGCATTTCGACAATTCATTATATCTGTAAATTCTTCCCATTTCATATTACTCACAAAACATGATAAATTGATAATTCAGTAATGTTTACGTCAAAATTTAATGTGCCGACGTAGGATCGTTTAATTGAGAGACATGATTAACAGTGTAAATATTTACTTTTTAAGCAAGTTGAGAGGATAGGCCAGCCTGACCATAGTGCAGAATATGAGAGAATAATGAGAGAATAATTATGCTATGGGCCCACGCTTTCAGATTCTTCTTTATGATTTGAATTTTACAGTAACTTAATTAAGTGAAGCAAACAATGGTTTAAGAGTAAGAAATCTTAACATTTCAAGTGCCAGTTTATAAATTAATAACGACATAAATACTTCAATATAAAACTGGTTGATTACAGAGATTTGATGAGTCATCTTCAATGGTTCAGGGATGAATAAACATTGATTGTATAGTAAATAAACAATTAAATGAGAGTACCTACATAATGATTACATATGAATGACATTCCGTTCAAATATATTCATAGTACTTATCAAAATATAGGATGTCTTTGAAGACTAATTTCCATCTCAATTGTGGTTAAAATCTTAAATTTTTGAGGTTTATAAAACCATGCTATTGAAATTAGAGAGTATAAAAAGACTTTTCAGAACTCATCATTTAAAAAAGCGAAGCTAAGTTGTGAATTATAAGAGAGACAATACACCTGACATTGTACAAGATATCTTTGAGAAATCAGCTTGTAAAACAGAAGAAATGGGTGAGCAATGCATGTTTATTAATGATGGAGAAATGCATAAATTTAGTCTTCAAGAAAATTATTTAATGAATTTCTTATAAATAAGACAGTTAAAGATACTTTCATTAGTGTTGACAAATTTGTTTGATGACATAATTCTACGATTAATGAATTTATTTTGTTAATAATATAATTGAGTGATTTACTGAAACAATACACCATAACCCAACACCCCTTGTATTTTTTCACGATAAAATAAATGCTTCATAAAATGAGCAGTTCACGTGTGTAATAATGAGCATTAAATAATGAATTTTCTGAAAAACAATCTTTGTCTTCTTTAGGTGTCTTTAACAACTTTATATATACATGCATAATATGCATGGTGTTCATGAGCAATTATGTGCATTGTAAAACAGACAACGAGACTACTAACAATAAACCAGGTGCAAAAACAAATAATGATTTGAATCATGATGAAAATATGTTAACGTTAATATTCATTTTCTATAGTTTCAGTCCTCAAAGAAGAAGTTGTCTCAATTTATAATGAAAACTTCACTGACATTCCCAAGGACAGGGAGCCATATTATGTTAAAGTTCAACGATGTGTCATCGATAAAGATAATGTTCCTACATGTTCATTATGTTGGTCCCAACCTATGACATTGACAGAAGTCGAGATTGTCGTTCCTGACTTAAAAAATTACACAAAATTTTACAAATATATTGTATATAATCACACTTCTTGTTACCTGAAAGAGAAAGTGCCGGCTGTGAACTTTAATTTACACAAGAATCTACCTTCAAACGAAAGTAAGGACTTCTGTATTTAATTAAAATTTAAAGTGAGATCTAAATTTGAAGCGGTTTTCATTTTGTGTTTACAGTTAACGAAACAGAATTTATAACAAAAGTAAAATACAATCCACCAAACGTGAGAACATGTAATGACTATTGCAAGCATCTACAACCTCGTTTTCATCTGCACAGTGAATATACAAAGGTTGCTTTAGATTATCTCTTTATCCCATTCACTCAATGCTTGCCTGGTTGCAAAGCAACAGAGAAAATGAAGAATGTCAAAACAGAAACCCTCGATGGTTCATTCCCGTTTGAAGTCATTAAAGAACATACATCTTGCAGTCTCTGGATCAAAAAAGTCCATAAAAGTAGCATACGCAGTGATCCAGGTAAAGAATTTTCAATCATGATTGAAAAATTTAACCAAAAAGCGTACTGTGTGTAATTAGATGTGCACAACTTTTGAGAAAAATTGCAAAATAATCATGTTTTACGATTTGCTTCATGATCTTATTTCCATAAAATTTCTCTACAGAAAGTCGACCCGAGGTGCTAAATAAAGGGTTATTTATTTACATCACATCACCTAAATTGATGTTAGTTGCCTTCATTCTCTCGACTGTCCTCATCTCAATACTCATTCTGGACTGTAATCTGTGTCATCGTAAGAAAGGAATAATGTATTCGATAAAGAGTTGTGGAAAGAATGAAGAGTGTAAAGACTGCGTAAGAAGACAGCAGACTATGATAGAAATGGTTTAAGTATCAGTAGTTTTTGTGTCACATTTCAGCTATAAAGGAAGACATGAATGAATAAAGCATCTGAAACCAGGCCCATCGGAAGCTGTGGGGTTTGGGCAGGCTGCAACCCCCTTTCAGTAATTTTCAAAATTGTTGTGAAAATTTAACAAGCCCCAGCTTTTCCCCAAATCTTCTAGGAGAAAGTCACATACCGTAGAGTCTCGAAATAATAAGCTGCCCGGGCTATTTCAATTTTAAAAAGGTGGCTAATTTAATGGTGCGGTTACTTTCAGTGGAAGGATATTTCGAGACTCTAAGATATTTGAATTTTCAGACCCCCCCCCCATTCTTACTTAGAGCTTCCAACGGCGGTGAAAAAAAGAAAAGGCTGAACATTGTGTTGTGCAACAAGATGAATGACGTACAACTCATGACACTCCACGCAACGCTATTAAAGTGTATGAATTGTTTTCAGCAGAAACTGTGATCGTAATATTCTAATAATTGGATAATATTCTAAAAGCTGTATAACATTTGCACTAATTTCTGCCAAATCAACATTTATACTAGATAATTTTAATTAAATCAAATTTTCTTTATTGATATTAAACTGGAATTCATGATTATTATTGAATGTGATGAAAATTGACATGTTCTGAGAGCAGTAAAATGGGCAAGTTTTGTTGTTGCATATTCTAGCAACTTTTTGCTCATCTTGTGGGCATCCACTGAAGAAGGTTTTTAAAAGCCTTTTTTCCTCGTAAACCAGAATATTAAGACCAAAGGAATGATCAAGTCAGTTGGCAGATCATCATTTCAAGAGCTTTCCTTTTCAGTCATAAGTTTATGGATTAGGCTGACTATTATAACAAAGAACGTCCAATTAGATTAGAAAAGTAAATTTAGTAAAGTCAAAAGAACCAGTTGAAACTTTGGCTACCTTTCATGCACGAGAATGAGTTTATATAACCGCGTTTTCTTTTCTTTGATTGTGGACTAACTCAAGCATGAATAGACTACTTTAAGAACAAAGAGTAAATAGATAGATCTTGGATAATAACTGAACCAAATGCAATAATGACCAAATCAATTCAAGTGTTTTAGGGAACAAACAACTTTTATTTGCAAAGGTAGTTGCAAGAAAATTGTTATTTTGTAGATAAAACGTTTGTTACTTGCACCGCAATTAACGTAGCCGATATTCCGTCTTATGTCCAGCGTATCAGTGGCGTGCGTCACGAAGCCAGAGTAGGGCCCTGGGACCAATGGGAAAATACTGGCCCTTCTTAAAAAATATTAGCTATTGCGCAACAGAAAATTATTTCATAAGAATCATAACTATCTTCTCCTTTCTCTTTTGAGTTATAAATATCATATTTTCCTTCATAAATTATTTAATTATATGTTTAAAAGATAGTTATATTGAGTTTCATTGAAGTTGATTTAAATTTTATATAAATGGTTGGTCATTAAATAAATAGATCAGTAGCTAAATCATTGCTAATTTTATGCTGATTACCAAAGAATAACACGTGCAAAATGTTAATATGGCGGACGATTTTTAAATTCTTTCCAATTCAAAAATAAAGCAAAGGAATAGACCGTTTTCGCCCTCAACGAATTAATAAATGACACACAAGAATGACGCCGAATCATCAAACAAATTTAACTTTGTTGCATTTTAAAACGTTGTATAAGACGTCAAACTCACTTGACCTGTCTCGCATTGAAGGTGAAAAAGTCGTTTAACTGTCTCAATTCAGAGATTTTTCTGAAGAGCTAGACAGTATTTTGACAAAATTGATCAGTGACAAATGACTTAGGAATGTATCTTAATTTGCCAATCACAACAAATGATAACCACAAGCAAGTTAAGAATTATTAATTATGTCGCGTATTATTCATTATTTGCATGTGTTATAGTAATCAATAAACCTTTCGTTGCTTTTTAAATTGATAATAAGCTGAAGTTTTTATATTGCAGGAGATTATATTTTAGGAATGAAAAAAAAAAATAGTGAAAAGCACTTTCTAGCCAAAGTGAATTAAAAAAAATTAATGCTTGTTTTAATGCAAATTGCCACCACTAAAACGTTACAATCGGGAACAACTGAATACATGAGTATCCTCACCCTCCCCTCCCCAATTTACTTTTCTGTAGACGGTCCTGCTTTCACTTATCAAACTTGGTATCCAAGGATAGTGCAAAGTGTTAAAATATGCTCTCATATTCTTCCTGTAATTAGCAAATAATTAAGTCAAGTGTAACGAAGGAAAAACACTTGGAAAACAGTTAAACCATCCAAACGAGACAATTTGAAACGATTAATTTTTTAAAGACGAAAACTAGAAAAGTGAAAGCCAACCCGTAAAAACAACAAGGACGAAAAAGAAGGCAAGCTTTGTTTCAGGTGAAATAATGCCATGTAATAATCTTTTGAATAACGTCGCTTTCTTGGTCTTTACTGAGAAATATCAGACCTTTGTCTTTTTCTACAAACCTTGCCCTACGGGCTCGGTCTGTACAAGAAGACATCAGTCCGATATTTCTCCGAAAAGACCTCGCGCACAGCTATTAATGGCTTAGTATTGTAACTGGATTTCAGGGAAATTACATCGGGATTTCGGGGTGACTATGGTTGAATATCGAGGGAGCTAGTTAAGTAGCAGAATTTTGGGCTTATACAATTATTTTACTCGCACGCCCTATTTAAATCTCACCTTGTCTTGAAGCAAAAGAAACAGTTGGGGTTACCCAGATAATATGCAAACAATGGCAGCAAATATATTAGATAATCACAGCGAATATATAAATGACTCTTTTCAGTATAGAGTCACTCATTATTCAAAAATATGAAGACTATAGACTAAAAAACAGTCGATATGTAAAAGAAAAACCTCAAAACGCAGCAACAGCTGTGATATATACTCAATACACACTTATCCTCGTATCAAACATTTAAATGTCAGTACACTTTCACGATACTTAAAATTTATCTTTATATTCGGTACCTTCTTTAAGTTACAGCATTCTTTATTAACCTCTTCTACAAAACGCTTTCAAAGCCTCGGTAAAAGTACATTACTTACACGTTTGTAATTGAAAACAGCAGCGTGCTTCCGTGTCCCATCCTCGTCATTTTTGAAACCCAAAATGAAGCATTCGACTGCATTGCGTAAACTTTAATTATTGTACTCACATATTACCAATTGGCGAATTATCAAAGTCATTGTATCTCTTAATTCTCAAGTGAAGGTAGTTATTGTTTAGCAATGCTAGAGAGCATGAGCAATTCTGCTTTATACAATACATATGCATAAAGAATTGTTAATGAGTTCAATAGAGTTATTAATATGAAATTCAGCAGTATTATTCTATTGAAATGCTGTCACTGTTTGCTTATTGGTGGGTTGCAACCATCGTCCTGAGAGTAAGAGAACAATGGAATGCTGGCGATGTTGGATGAAATTAGCATTGTAAATAAGGAAAATCCTTTGTTAAAATCATCCAATATGGCGACTATGACGTACTTGCAACCCAAGAATTGCTTTGATTACCCTACGTTTTAACTTTCCTTCACTTTTGATGAATTTGAGACATGCACTGCTATATATAGAGAGAGCATGAAAAAATACTGAAAAGTGTATTGGTGAGTAAAGCCTAGGCCACACTATCGTCCATATCGACGAAAATCAGAACGAAAACTGCCGCAACCAAAATTTTGAACGAAAACTCGACGAAAATTTCGTTTTCGGTCATATTAGAAGAGTTGAACGTTTGACCTTTTTCGTTAACGAAAACGCATACTATTGGCTAATAATATCAGACTTTGTACTCAAACATGGCGGAGTGGCAAGAGGTTTTGATAAATCAGGTCTAATAGACTTTCTAAGATGTGTGCCAACTTTAGTGATGTGAGGTCTAATTAAATCCAAAATGTAGTCAAAATTTGTCGTCGTCATTCGCAAGTATTTTATGTGTCTATTTTCATTGTTCGGCTCTCGTAATTCTTTAATCAAGATGTTAAATAGTCCAAGACGATCACGTCGTTTATTAATTGGATGAATCCAGTATCGACGTTTGCTGTTGCTTGTTTTCAACTTTAAAAGCAGTAACTTTTTCTTAAGAAGAAGTAATCTTTTTCTTTTAGAGATCGCCATTTTTTCTAATCCGTCAAAAATGCCGCTTGCTTATTGGCCAAAAAAGTTTTGGCTTTGCAAACATGCTTGTAATTTTTCGTCGTGTCTGGCATGCATTTCGTGCACGAATTTTTGTTTCGTTTTCGTTTTCGTCAATATAGACGATAGTGTGGCCCAGGCTTAAAGGCAGTAATTTTTAAAAATAATTTTAGTATCGAGTAGGATTTTCTGCATGCTGTTGTTAATACGACTTGATCCTTTCTTACATCGCAAAAAAAGTTACTAAACTTATCAATATTAATATTAAAGAATGCAAAAGTCGACCCTACCTCAGAAATGTATTTTATTTCACATACAGAACAACTCCTCACATGAAAGGTGTTACGACAATTGCTCTGCATGACGATGGCAATGAATGGTGCATCGCAACCGCTGATAGAGATGGAGTCATTAATATTTGGAATTAAACGTTTGGAAATAAGATATTTCGTTCAAACAACAAAATCTGAAATGAAACCAAGAAACATCTAGGAGTGGAAAATAATCTCCGAATAACATTATGAACATGCTTAAATTTATGAAGGCCAAAATCACTAATGGCTGCTTCTTAGCATACACATATAGTAATTGATGTAACTCTAATATGCATGGCATAATTTGACCTTTCAAGTATAGTTTTATTTGTTGCGTTGTAACGTTACATAAGTTGAAAGAAATAGGAAAAAGTTATTAAAATATTTATTTCGAATACAACAAAAACGAATGAAGAACAAGTAGAAGAACAATCCAATCAATTAAAACTTACCTGTTTCAACACTGATAAGTGATTCTCAAACATTCGTCGTAACTTCAATATTTTACGAGATAGGATCTGCACATGCGCGAAGGTATTTCTACACTCTTCCTGAGTACCCCGAGAAAGGCCTATCGCAAATGATCTCGGGGTCTGATGGGCGGAAGGTTTTTACGTATTTGCATCCCCATGTAGGATAGCGAGGGGCTGAAATCTCCACCGAAACGTTAACATGCAGCGTTCTAGTGCCTTACGCTTAAGAAGGTATCGGAAAGCATGGACTGAATACGGGTTTTTCTTTGAATTTTATATTTGGTTTATCTCATAAAAGAAACTAGAACATTCAAGGATACTGCAAAGGTTCAAAATACTTCTGCCTCTTTGACTTAGAATTTAAACCAACTCTAAGCATGTTTATACGTTTTTTACATGTTACCTTTTACAATGTAACTTTCTCATGACTCTCTCGTGACGAGGAGAGCCTCCTCTTAAAATATAACTTTCTCATCATGAATAAAAGCATCCATGGGCTTCATGAGAAAAAGGGATTATCTACTTTTTTATAATAGTTTTTACAAAAATAACTTTTAACAAACCAAGCAATTTGTATCCTCTAAATTGAACCTCGCTTTCAACACTTATGTTATAAAATTTTGATTTATTTTGGATAGTAAATTTCTTTTCACCTTACAATATTTTCATGATTCAATCTAGAAAGGAACTTCTCTTCTCGAGCAATTTTGCGACTTAACAGAACACTTGTCTGATTCAAACAAATTCTTTTGATCGCATAGAGATAGCCGTCCAATTTATTATGTACCTAAGCGTATATAAAGCATTTTCAAATCACGTACAAAATTTCTTTCACATGACCAAATTACCGTCTATTTAAAGGATGTATGTAATAAAAAGTTACCTTCACAACTGAAGCAAACCCTCCTGGCATTAACTTCCCAAATGTTATGCAGGACAAATGTAACTTTGACGACAAACTGCATAGACCAACTCTTGAACACTGTTCTCGATTACTGTAAATAATCATTACGAAATGTTGATTAAATATTCTGAAGCAATTATCTATGAAATAAATTTACATAGATAATGCAAATTATTTTTTGACTCGGCGGAAGTGATGTACCATAGGAAGCAGAGATGATGAGTCAGCACGGGCGACGAGTTAGTAATATAAGTAATTAACAATTTAACAGTTGCACGTAGCACATGTCGTCATGAAGCAAGAAATGACACTCAACTGTTATTGGTTAGTTTCAGTAGATTTAATCGCAAATAGCAATGTACTACAAATTATGTAACAACGTAAAATTCAGTAAGAGTGAAAAATTCACTGATAAATTGATTGCAAAAAATTTCATACTTTTCCCTCCTCGCTATATGATGAAGTATAATTGTAAAAATTGGAAAACTCAAAAGCCTTCTCGAAAAATCATAGCTACGTCTGTCATGCTTATTATAAAAAGCTGACGTCAGTCAGAGTTAAGATGACTCTGAAGATGACTACCGCTAAGGTTGTCGAAACGTCAGTCTACATCAATACCAACAGTCCTTGTCAGGACTCTACTAACCTGGACGATCTTCATCCTCAAACATGTTACGATACTCCCAGGGTTAAACCATTTTCTTTATTACTGTTTTGTGTTAGTGACCTGTCATTTTTTTGGTGAAACTTGCCGACATTGTGAAAATATTAGCCTGTTAAGACCAATACATACGTGGAAGACACGCGATATCAATGACTATCGCACACGTGATGACCAACATTGCATACAGCTGTGAATCGAGGAAAATATTTGGATAAATTGATTGTAAAAGAAGCGTTGAGTGATTTCTAGGCAGCCGATGATGTATAAACAATTGACAAGCTTGAAATCGTCAGCTTGCAACGTACCACTTATGTCACAGGTCATAAAATTGCCGTGTTTTTCCCTAACTATTTTTAATTGCATTATTGCCTCCGTGGAGAATATTAATTACGTGTACGCACTCTCCAAAAACTCGTTTCATGTACTACTTAAATAAATATTACAGCATCAACTAATTTCGTTGATAGCGACGACTTTGTCAAATGACATCAATTTTAATTCTTGTGTTTTGATGGATATATATTTCTTTAATGCAAGACTTTTTGTCTTATTTAGATGTCCTTGAAAACATCAAATATACGTGGGTAGTATACATTATGCGCATGGCATTTGGCAAAAAAATCAAGGCAACTAATTAGCATGCGAATTATAAACGTAATATAAAAGTCATATAACAATTGCCAGAGTAGTTAGGAAAAGTTTAAGTCAAGTGTTACATTTCCGTAACAAAGTCGAAAGAAACAGGAAAAAATTTATCCAACAATTTATTTAGAAATACAACTAATAAGAAATGAGGAAAAGTAGAAGAACAATCCAATAAGTTAACACTTATCAATTTCACCTGTAATAAGTGACTTTATGGTTAACACACTTGATGTTTGTACATTCGATGAATTTTTCACAAGAGATTAATTTAACACATTGCGTAATTCGCTGAAAATCTCTACGTGCTTGACATTAAATTTTTAAGATATATTTTACCTACAACATCGATGAAATTAAATCGACATTAAAACTTCAAATCTAAACATTTATTTATCGGACGACCTCGACTGACTGTAGTACTTTGAGAACATAGAGATGTCAGCAATAGAAAATTAGTTCCTCAATCTCAAAGCAAACTAACACATTCCTTAATAACAATTTTATTCTACATCATGTATTTCTATGTTCCAGAAAAAACACATCGTACGAATCATGTAAAAAATCACAGCTCCGTCAAAACTAGCTTAAACTAGCGTACTGTGTCACGATAACCGGTTTGTTGGCTGCAAGCATTTAAGAAATGGCTCAACTTATCAAGACTGTTATTAATTTAAGATATTCACAACTATAAAACAGTTTTAAATGTTGAGTTTTGATTAATCATCTTCGATGTCTCAAAGTAATTTTACACACTTTAAATAAAGTATATTTACCGTTTGTAACAATTAACACATAATTCTTATATGATAATTGCGGTTAACCAACATTTCTCATTGTAACATAATTAGAATCTTAGAAAGTATAAAATGCTTCCCTAATCAAAGCATGTGCATTATCAGAATTCATCACATACAAAAGAACAGCTAAGCAGTGAATTAGAAAGATATAGCTATAAGAAATCAGCTGACATGAGAACAGACATTATGGGTGAGTAGAGCATTTATAAAAAAGTAAAGATGCGTTGACCTAGTCTCAAGTAAAACTTGATTTAACTACAGTACTACAGTCAAACGTCTATTTAACTGTTTATCCATGGTGATCGCAACAACAGACATATTGAGGGCAAGGGGAGCGGTAACTTGTTGACTAAAACTAACAAATAATTTTTAAAGAAATAATCAAAATTACTGTAATCATTCAAAAAATTCGAATCAAAACTTGTTTGATCTCTGTACATTTACTATAAAAATTAAGAGTATGTGTCGGCTTGAAATCGTCTTCAATGTGCATTTGTCGCTGCAGTACATTATGTGAGCTCAGCACGAACAGCACATCAATTGTTTTGTTTTAGATATTGATGAAGAAGTCATAAATATTAAATCACCGTTAAACTATTAGTTGCGAAGACAAATTTGTCAAACGACATAGTTCATTTAGATGATGGTGTTTCGATCGATATTTATTCAAAGAATATTTGTCATCCTTAGGTATCTTTGACAACTTCAAACATACATGGGTATTATGGATGCTGTTCGTTTTTGAAATGAGCGAAAACGTGAATGGGGGAAACAATGAGTTAGGTAAGACAACAAACGAAGGCTTTAACCATGATAAAATATAAAGTGACATATGAAACAATATAGTCAACGTATTCTATACGTCACCATTATAGTTTCAGTCCTCAAGGAAGAAGTTGTGTCGATTTATAATGAAAATTTCACAGACATTCGAAAAAACAGGGAGCCATATTATTTTAAAGTTCAACGATGCGTCATCGATAAAGATAAAAGTCCTCCACTTGCAAATTTTTGGCCCCAGCCAAGAACGACGATAGAAGTCGAGATTGTCGTTCCTGATTTAAAAAACGACACAAAATTCTACAAATATATTGTATATAATCACACTTCTTGTTGCAAGAGTACAAACTTAACAGCCTTGAACTTCGATCAACACAAGAATCTATATTCAAACGAAAGTAAGGATTTCTGAATTTAATTAAAATCTAAACTCAAATCTAAACTTGAAACGCCTTTCCTTTTGTGTTTACAGTTTACGACACAGAATTTACAACAAAAGTAAAATACAATCCACCAAACGTGAGAACATGTAATGACTATTGCAAGAATCCTCAACCTCGTTTTCATCTGCACAGTGAATATAGAAAGGTTCTTTTAAATTATCTCTTTATCCCATTCACTCAATGCTTGCCTGGTTGCAAAGCAACAAAAAACACAAAGAACATCAAAACACAAACCCTAGATGGTTCAACCCTATATGAAGTTGTCAGGGAACACGTATCGTGCAATTTTTGGAATACAAAAGTCCATAAAAGTCCACCTTCTAATAGCAGACGCAGTGATCCAGGTAAAAAATTCTCAATTATGATTGAAAAAATTAACCGAAAAGCGTAATGTGTGTAATTAGATGTCCACAACTTTTGAGAAAAATTGCAAAATAATCATGTTTTACGATTTGCTCCATGATCTTATTTCCATAAAATTTCTCTACAGAAAGTCGACCCCTCGTGCTAAATAAAGGATTATTTGTCTACATCACATCACCAAGAATGATGTTAGTTGCCTTCATTCTCTCGACTGTCCTCATCTCAATACTCATTCTGGACTGTAATCTGTGTCATCGTAAGAAAGGAATGATGTATTCTATAAAAAGTTGTGGAAAGAATGAAGAGTGTGAAGACTGCGTAAGAAGACAGCAGACTATGATAGAAATGGTTTAAGTATCAGTAGTTTTTGTGTCACATTTCGGATTGGAACAAGACATGAACAAATGAGGCAGAATGAAATTTATTAATAGAAAACTTTTGTAAAGAAAAAAACTTTTAGATGTTATGCTACGTTCGCACGAATATCTTGTTAATTAAGATATTTATCGAATGAGTTTACTTTAAATTTCTGTTACAGTGATATAAAACACAAATTATAAATATGAAGATTCAGAGCAATATAGCTTGTGTACACCTGGATGAATGGGCTTTGAAAGAAAATAAACTAAACACCTTTCATGGAGACTAATGCCTGGAGTCTTAATGTTGAGTAAATGATAAGTACAAATTTTTGGTAAATGGAAACTTCTGTATTCTCGCACATTTTCCATCGTGACACCAAGATGCTGTCGATACAAGTATTGGCTTAAGGATAGAGAAATTAAAGCTTTTTTGTCCGATTATTTTTGAAATAATCACAGATGAAAAACACCGTAATGATTTTAGGGCAAAAATATGAATATACGCGAAGAACGCAAAGTTTAAATCCGTAATTTGAATCAACCATATAAAATGTTTCATGAATTCCAAGAGATTATGAAAGAGGAAGCCGAACCCTTTGAATTAGTTTGGAAACTGTAACTGGCCTGTCATTTTGTATTATATTATTCTATTTGTTGGGTACTTTTCCGGCAAAGGGGAAGCGCGTGCCGCCGCTTCGTCCATCACTCTAAATCCGCCCCCCGTCACATTACCCCCCCTAAATTTCCATCAAAAGTAATTTAGTTTCAGGTATCATTGACTGAGGAATTAATCCAAAGTTAGTTAAAGATTTAAGTAAAATGTTTTGAACCTCGATTGTTTGCATGGAGAATTCTTCAAACTTATTGGCAAAACATCAAGCTAAATCGCTTTCATTTAACAATCATATTTTCGATATTGTGGATGAAAAATTCTAGTTTTTAGTTCACATTCACGTTACTAAGCAAAAAATAATTCGAAACTGACCACAATAGTAAAACCACAATGCGAAACCGAACTGTTATGATAAATAATTACATGCACATAAGCAACCATTTTCATTGTTTAGTTAACGTCACAATACTAACTAAAACGTTACTAAAGATAACCTCAATTAACTTGCCTAGCGCATATCATGTATGATAATGTATGATATAATGTTGTACACCAAACATATGTACTCCAAGATTTTAACATAATTATCGAATCCAATGAAAAACAGATCAGTAGCTACATCATAAAATAATGTATGATTACAACAAAACGAACCGTCTTTTAAAAGACTATTTAGAGCTAATGGTTAATTTGACTTGACTTGCCACGGCATTTTCACATGATTACAAGTTAAGAATGAAAGGGTTTTAAAATAAAATAAAGATATTTGCATAGACAGATTTCTTTTCATACATGCACACAATGCCTTTCACCATAGTAATAACACCAGGTACTACACCACTAACCACTATACCACCAACCACTATTTAAAAAACAAAATGTAACAAATTACATGAACATACTGTGAATGAAGCTTGAGTGAATAATATATTTCTGTAATGAAAAAAATCAGGTAGCCACTGATCAGGCCTGACCTGAAAAAAATCAGGTTGAAACCTTTCGTCGAAACTGACATAAAAACACATCATCCTTATTCTGACAGCGCATTTCGGAGGCAAGGAAGAACTTTCACTCCTTTCGAACAAACTGGAAGATTCCAGGTAGCAAAAAGTAGAGCAAATAAATAGAACCGACGCTTGGAGATTCATTCATACTTTGTACTCGGCTGCACATACAAGAACAGCTGAAGACTGTCAAAAAATAGCAAACCAAAGAAAATCGAAATTATTGTGAGAAATCGTTCGCAACGGGTGAGTCAAAACTACAGTTGTTGTAAAATTATCGGCAGTTTATATATTGGTAAATGTAATGATTTCTTCAGCGAATACTTTTTTAAAATAATAAAAATTGAGCACATGAATTTAAAATCTTACAAAAAAAACTGACAAAAATTATCTCACAGTAGGGCGGAGCTCTGATCTCATGCAATACTGAATGATAATTAATTTGCAGTAACTCTAACATAAGCTAATATACGTCATAAGATCTAATCAAGTTAGCTTGCTGTTAATAAAAACAGTGCCGGACCGGGGTACGTCAAAAAATAAATTACTGCAGCTCGTTTTACAATATAGTTACAAGTTTACAAACATTTTAGATGCAAGTGGATTGGTAAACTTATATTCATTAGAAATTCCGAACCGATAGTGTTTTTGAAAGTAGTTTTCGAATATAAAATCTAATTGAGCTATATAACTTTATTTTGCCGAACGCTGAATCCGCTAATGATTAAGAAACAAATTTTGTCGGCAAAATATTTGGGAATTCAACATACATAGACGTTTTCCGCCGTTCAAACAAGGATGAGGTTATTACGAAAACTCTCTATACAAAGAGATATTGAAACAATGACGCAAAAACGATGCTATGGGCCCACGCTTTCGATTCTTCTTTATGATTTGAATTTTACAATAACTTAATTAAGTGAAGCAAAAAATGTTTAAAGAATAACAAATCTTAACATTTTAAGTGCCAGTTAATAAATCATAGCGACATAAAATACTTTAAATACCATTTTCAACGGTTCCGGGATATATTGGTTCAAATATATTCAAAGTACTTATCAAAATATAAGATGTCTTTGAAGACTACTTTCCATCTCAATTGTGGTTAAAATCTTAAATTTTTGAGATTTATAAAACCATGCTATTGAAATTAGAGAGTATAAAAAGTCTTTTCCGAACTCATTATTTATAAAAGCGAAGCTAAGTTGTGAATTATAAGAAAGACAATACACCTGACATTGTACAAGATATCGTTGAGAAATCAGCTTGTAAAAAAGAGAACAAATGGGTGAGCAACGCATGTTTATTAATGATGGAGAAAATGCATCAATTTAGTCTTCAAAAAACTTATTTAATCAATTTCTTATAAATAAGACAGTTAGAGACACTTTCATTTCTTTTGACAAATTTTTTTGTTGACATAATTCTACGATTAATGATATTATTTTGTTAATAATAAAATTGAATGATTTACTGAAACACAATACACCATAACCCAACATCCCTTGTATTTTTTCACGATAAAATAAATGCTTCATAAAATGAGCAGTTCACGTGTGCAACAATGAGCATTAGACGATGAATTTTCTGAAAAACAATCTTTGTCTTCTTTAGGTGTCTTTAACAACTTTTTATATACATGCATAATATGTGTGGTGTTCATGAGCAAGAATGTGCATAGTGAAACAGAGAACAAGGCTACTAACAGTAAACCAGGTACAAAAACAAATAATGATTTGAATCATGATAAAAAAAATTTAACGTTAATATTCTTTTTCTATAGTTTCAGTCCTCAAGGAAGAAGTTGTCTCAATTTATAATGAAAACTTCACTGACATTCCCAAGGACAGAGAGCCATATTATGTCAAAGTTCAAAGATGTATCATCGAAAAAGATAAAATACCTACATGTTCATTATGTTGGCCCCAACCTATGACATTGACAGAAGTCGAGATTGTCGTTCCTGATTTAAAAAACTACACAAAATTTTACAAATATATTGTATATAATCATACTTCTTGTTACCTGGAAAAGAACTTAATAGCCCTGAAGTTTAATCTACACAAGAATCTATTTTCAAACGAAAGTAAGGACTTCTGTATTTAATTCAAATTTAAACTGAGATCTAAATTTGAAACGCCTTTCCTTTTGTGTTTACAGTTAACGACACAGAATTTACAATAAAAGTAAAATTAAATCCACCAAACGTGAGAACATGTAATGACTATTGCGAGCATCCACAACCTCGTTTTCATCTGCACAGTGAATATACAAAGGTTGTTTTAAATTATCTCTTTATCCCATTCACTCAATGCTTGCCTGGTTGCAAAGCAACAGAGAAAATGAAGATTGTCAAAACAGTAATATTAGATGGTTCAAAGCCGATTGAAGTCATTAAAGAACATAAATCTTGCAATCTCTGGAACAAAAAAGTCCAAGAGAGTACACCTTATCGTAGCAGACGCAGTGATACAGGTAAAAAATTTTCGATTATGATTGAAAAATTTAACCAAAAAGCGTTATGTGTGTGTAATTAGATGTGCACAACTTTTGAGAAAAATTGCAAAATAATCAAGTTTTACGATTTGCTTAATGAACTTATTTCCATAAAATTTCTCTACAGAAAGTCGACCCCTCGTGCTAAAAAAAGGTTCATTTGTTTACATCAAATCACCTAAAATGATGCTAGTTATCTTCATTCTTTTGGCTGTCCTCATCTCAATACTCATTCTGGACTGTAATCTGTGTCATCGTAAGAAAGGAATAATGTATTCTATAAAGAGTTGTGGAAAGAATGAAGAGTGTGAAGACTGCGTAAGAAGACAGCAAACTATGATAGAAATGGTTTAAGTATCAGTAGTTTTTGTGTCACATTTCTGCTAAAAAGGAAGACATGAATGAATAAAGCATCTGAAACCCGACCCATCGGAAGCTGTGTTGTTTGGGCAGGCTGCAACCCCCTTTCAGTAATTTCCAAAATTGTTGTCAAAATTTAACAAGCCCAGCTTTTCCCCGAATCTTCTAGGAGAAAGTCACATACCGTAGAGTCTCGAAATAATAAGCTGCCCGGGCTGTTTTAATTTTAAAATGGTGGCTAATTTAATGATGCGGTTACTTTCATTGGAAGGATATTTCGAGACTCTAAGATGTTTGAATTTTCAGACCCCCTACGCCATTCTTAGTTAGAGCTTCCGACGGCGGTTAAAACAAGAAATGGCTGAACATTGTGTTGTGCGACAAGATGAATGACGTACAACTCATGACACTCCACGCAACGCTATTAAAGTGTATGAATTGTTTTCAGCAAAAACTGTGATCGTAATATTCTAATAATTGGATAATATTCTAAATGCTGTATAACATTTTGCACTAATTTCTGCCAAGTCAACATTTATACTAGATATTTTTAATTACATTAAATTTTCTTTTAGTGATTGTAGTGATTATTACATGAAGTACTACCACCTTAGTAACCGCGCCTAGTTTAAGGTAATTACTTATAAAGAGACATTTTGTAGATATTAATTTAGTGTTGAGTAAAGCCTTATTTCGAAAGGTTGTTCTTTGGTGTTTGCTTGAATTCAAACTTTTACCACAATTTACTCAACACTACCTCCTTATACCTATGGATAAAGTTTTGAGACCTGAACGGTTTGATGTTATTCCGAACTCGCAAGGCGCTGCAAAACGTTGGACGCACTGGCTCGCGACATTTGAGAACTTCATCGATGCAATACCGTCCATTCCTGATACACGAATAAATAAACTACACATTCTGGTGAATTATGTCACCTCTGATGTTTATCAACTGTTCTGTGATACTGAAACCTACGATGAAGCCATCACCACGCTGAAAACCTTATATGTCAAGCCTCCGAACGAGATTTTTGCTCGGCATAAATTAGCAACACGGAAACAAAAGCAGGCGAAACCCTTGACGAATACCTACAAGAACTGAAACACCTAAGTAAAGACTGCAATTTTCGTCAAGTCTCTGCTGCTCAATATCGGGATGAAGCAATTCGGGATGCTTTCATTAGTGGTCTATTGTCGGGAAGTATTCGACAACGTTTACTGGAGAATAAACAGTTGGATTTACAAACGGCATTCGATCAAGCTCGAGCTTGGGATTTGGCACAAAAATCATCGGAGACATACAATTCGAATCCCTTCACAAGCGCTGCTGTTACGGCATCTAACGGACATGACGAAAATAATGAAGAAGGACTAAGCGAGAGGTATTTTTCCTCCACTTCACGTTCCGCTAAATGCTTCTTTTGTGGTAATAAGCAACATCCCCGGTCATTATGCCCTGCGAAAGAAGCTATTTGTAATAAATGTAAAAAAAGAGGGCACTACCAAAGAGTTTGCCGTTCGTCAGCAGTAGTCTCTAATTTAACGCAATCAGCTTACATAACTCTAGCTGCAATGGGGGAGTCATTGCTAAGTTCATGTATTGACATTCGTTTAAAAGAAAGAACTGTTGCAGCTCTGGTAGATTCAGGAAGTACTCACTGCTTCATACATCCTGATTTGGTTGAGCAACTCTCATTGACAGTTCATCAGACCAAAGAAAAAGTTACGATGGCTACATGTAATTATTCCACAAAAATGCAAGGATATTGTCTTAGTGATATAACGTTAAAAGGCCGGTTGTATTCTCAGGTTAAGCTATATATTCTGCCCAATCTGTGTACTCATGTTATTCTAACTTGGCAAGCCCTGCACGAAAGTGTCACTATTCAGTACGGTGGTTCTGCCCCTCCTTTGAAACTTTGCAGTTTAACAGCTTTGAACCTAGACCCCCCACTTTTGTTCCAACATTTAACAGAGGGTTGTAAACCGATAGCTATTAAATCAAGGAAATATAGCCGAGAAGACAAAGAATTTATTACAACTGAAGTACAAAGGCTTCTAGATGAAGGTATAATTGAACCGAGTGAATCACCGTGGAGAGCACAAGTGGTCGTAACTAGAAACGATCGACAAAAAAAAAAAGATTAGTGATTGACTACTCGCAAACTATAAATAGATTCACACACCTGAATGCTTATCCTTTGCCTAGAATAGATGATATCGTCTCTAAAATCGCTCAGTACAAAGTTTTCAGCACCGTTGATTTGAAAAGTGCGTATCATCAAGTCCCAATTCAAAAAAGAAGAAAAGAAATATACTGCTTTCGAAGCTAACCAGCGTTTGTACCAATTCCGTCGAGTACCATTTGGAGTAACAAATGGAGCAGCAGCTTTCCAAAGAATGATGGACAACTTTATCGCTAAAGAATGTCTAGAAGACACGTTTGTGTATCTTGACAACATCACGATTTGTGGCCGGGACCAAGCCCAGCATGACATAAATCTCGAAAAGTTCCTTCAAGCAGCTAGAAAGCGAAATTTGACGTTTAATCAAGACAAATGCTCCTTCTCAACAACCAGTATTTGTATCCTCGGTAGTATAATCGCTAATGGAGAAATAAAGCCGGACCCGGCACGATTGAGACCTCTGCGAGAGTTACCTGCCCCCCGTGATTTAAAAGAACAGAAACGGATTGTGGGTCTCTTTTCCTACTATTCTCAATGGATCAAAGACTTCGCAGCAAAAGTAAGACCACTGACACAGAATACTGTATTTCCAATGGTAGGCGATGCTCTTACTTCGTTTAATCTACTTAAGTCCGATGTCGAAAAATCTGTGGTCCAAGCTGTTGACGAAGCACAGCCCTTTCAGGTGGAAACAGACGCTTCCGAGTTTGCTCTTTCAGCCACTCTCAACCAAAACGGTCGCCCAGTTGCGTTCTTTTCGAGGATGTTAAGCGGATCAGAGCTTAAGCACGCTTCAGTGGAGAAAGAAGCAGCGGCTATCGTAGAAGCCGTGAGGAAGTGGAGACACTACCTTACGGGTAAGCATTTTATGTTAATTACTGATCAGAAGTCAGTAGCTTACATGTTTGATACCAAGCAAAAGAGCAAAATTAAGAACGATAAGATAATGAGATGGAGGATGGAACTATCCACTTATGATTTTGATATAATCTACAGAGCAGGAGAAGAGAATGTACCAGCGGATACATTTTCTAGGATAAGAGCAATGAGCATGACCTCCGATAAGCTGATAGAGCTTCATGAATCCTTGTGTCACCCAGGAATAACGCGGATGGCACATTTTGTAAAACCGTAATCTCCCTTTCTCTATGGATGAAATTAAGCTCATGACACAGTCCTGCAAGATATGCAGGGAAAGTAAGCCTCAATATTACAAAACAGAAAATTTCCATTTAGTAAAAGCGACTCAACCCTTCGAGAGACTTAGTTTGGACTTCAAAGGACCATTGCCGACGACTAATCATAATAAGTTTCTTCTTACTATAATAGATGAATATTCAAGATTTCCTTTTGCTTTCGCTTGTAAAGACGTTAGCGCGGAGTCAATTATAAATTGTCTCTGCGAATTGTTTTCGATTTTCGGTATGCCTGCTTACATACATTCGGATAGAGGTTCTGGCTTTATGAGTGCAAAAGTTAAAGACTTTCTCCTCCAGAAAGGAATCTCGTCAAGCCGAACCACACCATATAACCCAGAAGGGAACGGCCAAGTAGAACGTTTGAACGGCACTCTATGGAAGACTATTTCCCTCGCGATGAAGACGCGAGGACTACCGACCAGCTGCTGGCAAGAAGTTTTGCATGATGCTCTTCATTCCATCAGATCTCTGTTGTGCACCGCTACTAATGTAACACCGCATGAACGCCTCTTTATCCACCAACGAAGATCGACGAGTGGAACTTCCATACCAACGTGGCTATCCAAACCTGGACTGGTACTGTTGAAGCGTCAAGTAAAACAATCTAAGTATGACCCATCTGTCGATGAAGTAGAGCTAATCGAAGCAAATCCTCAGTATGCGCATGTAAAATTTCCCGATGGAAGAGAAGATACCGTAGCCACTAAGTTCCTCGCTCCACAAGCTGAGGAAAAAGAGAAGTTATGCGAGAAACCGCTACCACTATCGCCTTATAAAGATAATACTGTAGACGACCCACGTCTATCTCCTTTGGCCACAAAGACGCTGGAAACTAAATAATAGTTCGCCAAAGAAAGAAAGAGAAGGAACTCACTACTAGAGGATCCCGCTCTACCTGACCAGTCGTCATCACAACAGACACTACCGTTACGCCGCTCGCAGAGAGAAAAGAAACAACCCGACCGCCTGACATACACATGACATTGAACTAAAAGAAAAAAAAGACAATCGGGCAGGACCAGTCTTATTTAGATTATTTAATTTAGATTATATAGTTATTTCAAATAGGAGAGGGTGATTGTAGTGATTATTACATGAAGTACTCCCACCTTAGTAACCGCGCCTAGTTTAAGATAATTACTTATAAAGAGACATTTTGTAGATATTAATTTAGTGTTGAGTAAAGCCTTATTTCGAAAGGTTGTTCTTTGGTGTTTGCTTGAATTCAAACTTTTACCACAGTGATATTAAACTGGAATTCATGATTATAGTAAATGTGATGAAAGTTGACGTGTTTTGAGAGCAGTAAAATGGGCAAGTTTTGTTGTTGCATATTTTAGCAACCTTTTGCTCATTTTATGGGCATCCAATGAAGAAGGATTTTAAAAGCCTTGTTTCCTCGTAAACCAGAGTATTAAGAGCAAAAGAAATGATCAAGTCAGTTGGCAGATCATCATTTCAAGAGCTTTCCTTTTCAGTGATAAGTTTATGGATTAGGCTGATTATTATAACAAAGAACGTTCAATTAGATTAGAAAAGTAAATTTAGTAAAGTCAAAAGAACCAGTTGAAACTTAGGTTACCTTTCATGCACGAGAATGTGTTTATATAACCGCGTTTTCTTTTCTTTGATTGTGGACTAACTCAAACATGAATAGACTACTTTAAGTACAAAGAATAAATAGATAAAATCTTGGATAATAACTGAACCAAATGGGAAAATACTGGCCCTTCTTAAAAATATTAGCTATTGCGCAACAGAAAATTATTTCATAAGAATCATAACTATCTTCTCCTTTCTCTTGAGTTATAAATATCATATTTTCCTTCATAAATTATTTAACTATATGTTTAAAAGATAGTTATATTGAGTTTCATTGAAGTTGATTTAAATTTTATATGTGTGGTTGGTCATTAAATAAATAGATCAGTAGCTAAATCATTGCTAATTTTATGGTGATTACCAAAGAATAACACGTGCAAAATGTTAATATGACGGACGATTTTAAATTCTTTGCAATTCAAAAATAAAGCAAAGGAATGGACCGTTTCTGCCCTCAATGAATTAATAAATGACACACAAGAATGACGCCGAATCATCAAACAAATTTAACTTTGTTGCATTTTTAAAACGTTGTATAAACGTCAAACTCACTTGACCTGTCTCGCATTGAAGGTCACAAAGTCGTTTAACTGTCTCAATTCTGAAGAGCTAGACAGTATTTTGACTGAATTGATTAGTGATAAATGACTTAGAAATGTATCTATAATTTGCCAATCACAACAATTGATAACCACAAGCAAGTTAAGAATTATTAATTATGTCGCGTATATTCATTATTTGCATGTGTTATAGTAATCAATAAATCTTTCGTTGCTTCTTAAATGAATAGTGTACTGTATAGTAAGCTGAAGTTTTTATATTGCGGGAGATTATATTTTAGGAATGAAAAAAAAAATAGTGAAAAGCACTTTCTAGCCAAAGGACATCGCGATGCCGTTAACGATGTAAAATTTTCTCCCGACGGTCATTATTTAGTGAGCGCTTCCCACGACACAACAATTAAAATATGGCAGACAGAGACTGGCGCATGTGCAATGATACTAGACGACTCTGTAGGGGCTGTCAAGAGACTGTGTTACTCACCTCTAGAATGTCACATGATGAGTATATCAGGTCCAGGAAATTTTGTGAGAGTGTGGAACACAACATCTTATGTGGTAGAGAAGGTCTTGGAAGCTGACAATGGTAGAGAGATTCAGGTATATATCCTGCAATAAACACGTAAATTACTACTTCTGTAATGTTGATATTTAATGCCGAGAAAAATGGTGGAATCTAAACGCAAAATTCAAAGTTTTTCTTATGTGTTTCATATGCGAAAAAACAGATGACAAATTTAGTGAACTTTATTTTACAGAACATAGCTATAACACAAGACGGAATGGTAGTTATTGGGCTGTTTGAAGACAACAAAATCACACTTTGGGCTACGATGACAGATAATTGTGTGCCTAAACGAAGGTTTGTAAAAATGAAATGATTTATTGAGGTTTTGAGGCACTCGTTCCGACATTCAATCAAAAAGACATGATCGTAAAACTGACGTTTTTGAAGAACTGATCAACCAGTGCAGTAAGACTACGAGTTAAACAGAAAAAGCATTTAGAAGACTTTAATTGATTATTATATACGAGTATTGTAACTGGATTTAAGAGAAATTACATCGGGATTTCCAGTGCAGTAAGAATACGAGTTAAGCAAAAAAGCATATAGAAGACTTTAATTGATTATTATATGGCAAGCGTCACTTCCGGAAACATGGCGCGCTTTGATTGGCTGAGAAACATTTTTGCCAGTCCATTATTTTCCCGTAATCGACCATGGTCCGAAACACATAGTTTTATTGTCAAATGTGAACAAACTTCGTAATGCAGAGCAAAACGCAAAATAAACGAAACAAAAAACTACTTACGAATGTGATTCGAAGGAAAAACACTTGGAACAGTTAAACTATCCAGACGATACAATTTGAAACGATTAATTTTTTATGGACGAAAACTAGAAAAGTGAAAGCCAACCCGTAAAAACAGCAAGGACGTGAATATAAGACCTTTGTCTTTTCTATAAACCTCGCCCTACGGGCTCGGTCTGTACTAGAAGACATCAGTCCGATATTTCTCCATAAAGACCTCAAGCTCGGTTATTAAGGGCTTAGTATTGTAACTGGATTTCAGGGAAATTACATCGGGATTTCGGGGTGACTATGGTTGAATTCGAGGGAGCTAGTTAAGTAGCAGAATTTTGGGCTCATACAACTATCTTTAAGTACTCGCACGCCCTATTTAAATCTCACCTTGTCTTGAAGCAAAGGAAACAGTTGGAGTTACCCAAAAAAATATGCAAACAATGGCAGCAAATATATTAGATAATCACAGCGAATATATAAATGACTCTGTTCAGTATAGAGTCACTCATTATTCAAAAATATGTCGACTATAGACTAAAAAACAGTCGATATGTAAAAGAAAAACCTCAAAGCGCAGCAACAGCTGTCATAGATACTCAATACACACTTATCATCGTATCAAACATTTAAATGTCAGTACACTTTCACGATACTTAAAATTTATCTTTATATTCGGTACCTTCTTTAAGTTACAGCATTCTTTATTAACCTCTTTTACAAAACGCTTTCAAAGCCTTGGTAAAAGTACATTACTTACACGTTTGTAATTGAAAACAGCAACGTGCTTCTGTGTCCCATCCTCGTCATTATTGAAACCCAAAATGAAGTATTCGACTGCATGGCGTAAACTTTAATTATTGTACTCACAGATTACCAATTGGCGAATTATCAAAGTCATTGTATCTCTTAATTCTCAAGTGAAGGTAGTTATTGTTTAGCAATGCTAGAGAGCATGAGCAATTCTGCTTTATACAATACATATGCATAAAGAATTGTTAATGAGTTCAATAGAGTTATTAATATGAAATTCAGCAGTATTATTCTATTGAAATGCTGTCACTGTTTGCTTATAGGTGGGTTGCAACCATCCTCCTGATAGTAAGAGAACAATGGAATGCTGGCGATGTTGGATGAAATTAGCATTGTAAATAAGGAAAATCCTTTGTTAAAATCATCCAACATGGCGAGTATGACGTAGCTTGCAACCCAAGAATTGCTTTGATTACCCTACGTTTTAACTTTCCTTCACTTTTGATGAATTTGAGACATGCACTCCTATATATATAGAGAGAGCATGAAAAAATACTGAAAAGTGTATTGGTGAGTAAAGCCTAGGCCACACTATCGTCCATATCGACGAAAATCAGAACGAAAACTGCCGCAACGAAAATTTTGAACGAAAACTCGACGAAAATTTCGTTTTCGTGCATATCAGAAGAGTTGAACTTTTGACCTTTTTCGTTAACGAAAACGCATACTATTGGCTAATAATATCAGACTTTGTACTCAAACATGGCGGAGTGGCAAGAGGTTTTGATAAATCAGGTCTAATAGACTTTCTAAGATGTGTGCCAACTTTAGTGATGTGAGGTCTAATTAAATCCAAAATGTAGTCAAAATTTGTCGTCGTCATTCGCAAGTATTTTATGTGTCATTTTCATTGTTAGGCTCTCGTAATTCTTTTAATCAAGATTTAAATAGTCCAAGACGATCACGTCGTTTATTAATTGATGAATCCAGTATCGACGTTTGCTGTTGCTTGTTTTCAACTTTAAAAGCAGTAACTTTTTCTTAAGAAGAAGTAATCTTTTCTTTAGAAATCGCCATTTTTCTAATCCGTCAAAAATGCCGCTTGCTTATTGGCCAAAAAGTTTTGACTTTGCAAACATGCTTGTAATTTTTCGTCGTGTCTGGCATGCATTTCGTGCACGAATTTTTGTTTCGTTTTCGTTTTCGTCAATATAGACGATAGTGTGGCCCAGGCTTAAAGGCAGTAATTTTTAAAAATAATTTTAGTATCGAGTAGGATTTTCTGCATGCTGTTGTTAATACGACTTGATCCTTTCTTACATCGCAAAATAAAGTTAATAAACTTATCAATATTAATATTAAAGAATGCAAAAGTCGACCCTACCTCAGAAATGTATTTTATTTCACATACAGAACAACTCCTCACATAAAAGGTGTTACGACAATTGCTCTGCATGACGATGGCAATGAATGGTGCATCGCAACCGCTGATAGAGATGGAGTCATTAATATTTGGAATTAAACGTTTGGAAATAAGATATTTCGTTCAAACAACAAAATCTGAAATGAAACCACGAAACATCTAGGAGTGGAAAATAACCTCCGAATAACATTATGAACATGCTTAACTTTATGAAGGCTAAAAATCACTAATGGCTGCTTCTTAGCATACACATATAGTAATTGATGTAACTCTAATATGCATGGCATAATTTGACCTTTCAAGTATAGTTTTATTTGTTGCGTTGTAACGTTACATAAGTTGAAAGAAATAGGAAAAAAGTTATTAAAATATTTATTTCGAATACAACAAAAACGAATGAAGAAAAGTAGAAGAACAATCCAATCAATTAAAACTTACCTGTTTCAACACTGATAAGTGATTCTCAAACATTCGTCGTAACTTCAATATTTTACGAGATAGGATCTGCATATGCGCGAAGGTATTTCTACACTCTTCCTGCGTACTTGAGAAAAGCCTATCGCAAATGATCTCGGGGTCTGATGGGCGGAAGCTTTTTACGTATTTGCATCCCCATGTAGGATAGCGAGGGGCTGAAATCTCCACCGAAACGTTAACATGCAGCGTTCTAGTGCCTTACGCTTAAGAAGGTATCGGAAAGCATGGACTGAATACGGGGTTTTTTTCTTTGGAATTTTATATTTGGTTTATCTCATAAAAGAAACTAGAACATTCAAGGATACTGCAAAGGTTCAAAATACTTCTGCCTCTTTGACTTAGAATTTAAACCAACTCTAAACATGTTTATACGTTTTTTACATGTTATCTTTTACAATGTAACTTTCTTATGACTCTCGTGACGAGCGAGAGCCTCCTCTTAAATATAACTTTCTCATCATGAATAAAAGCAACCATGGGCTTCATGAAAAAAAAGGATTATCTACTTTTTTATAATAGTTTTTACAAAGATAACTTTTAACAAGCTAGGCAATTTGTATCGTCTAAATTGAGCCTCGCTTTCAAACCTTATGTTATAAAATTTTGATTTACTTTGGATAGTAAATTTCTTTTTACCTTACAATATTTTCATGATTCAATCTAGAAAGGAACTTCTCTTCTCGAGCAATTTTGCGATTTAACAGAACACTTGTCTGATTCAAATAAATTCTTTTGATCGCATAGAGATAGCCGTCCAATTTATTATGTACCTAAGCGTATATAAAGCATTTTCAAATCACGTACAAAATTTCTTTCACATGACCAAATTACCGTCTATTTAAAGGATGTATGTAATAAAAAGTTACCTTCACAACTGAAGCAAACCCTCCTGTCATTAACATCCCAAATGTTATGCAGCACAAATGTAACTTTGACGACAAACTGCATAGACCAACTCTTGAACACTGTTCTCGATTACTGTAAATAATCATTACGAAATGTTGATTAAATATTCTGAAGTAATTATCTATGAAATAAATTTACATAGATGATGCAAATTATTTTTTGATTCGGTGGAAGTGATGTGCCATAGGAAGCAGATATGATGAGTCAGCACGAGCGACGAGTTAGTAATATAAGTAATTAACAATTTAACAGTTGCACGTAGCACATATCGTCATGAAGCAAGAAATGTCACTCAACTGTTATTGGTTAGTTTCAGTACATTTAATCGCAAATAGCAATGTACTACAAATTATGTAACAACAACGTAAAATTCAGTAAGAGTGAAAAATTCTCTGATAAAATGTCTGCAAAAAATTTCATACGTTTCCCTCCTCATATATGATGAAGTATAATTGTAGAAATTGGAAAACTCAAAAGCCTTCTAGTGGCTTAGCAGCTTAGCTCTAAATTTAAAACGGCTGAAGTTAAAGACGAAACGTCGACAGTAATCACCCTTACCATTACTTTCGCGATGGCCGTGTTGAAAAATCATAGCTACGTCTGTCATGCTTATTATAAAAAGCTGACGTCAGTCAGAGTTAAGTTGACTCTGAAGATGAGTACCGCCAAGGTTGTCGAATCGTCAGTCTACATCAATACAACAAGTCCTTCTCAGGACTCTACTAACCTGGACGATCTTCATCCACAAACATGTTACGATACTCCCAGGGTTCAACCATTCACTTTATTACTGTTTTGTGTTAGTGAACTGTCATTTTTTTGGTGAAACTTGCCGACATTGTGAAAATATTAGCCTGTTAAGACCAATACATACGTAGAAGACACGCGATATCAATGACTATCGCACACGTGATGACAAACATTGCCTACAGCTGTGAATCGAGGAAAATATTTGGATAAATCGATTCTAAAAGAAGCGTTAAGTGATTTCTAGGCAGCCGATGATGTATAAACAATTGACAAGCTTGAAATCGTCAGCTTGCAACGTACCACTTACGTCACAGGTCATAAAATTGCCGTGTTTTTCCTAACTTATTTTAATTGCATTATTGCCTCCGTGGAGAATATTAATTACGTACGCACTCTCCAAAAACTCGTTTAATGTACTACTTAAATAAATATTACAGCATCAATATTGTTGCCAATGAAGTGCCAGGCAGGAACGGATTCTCAATATAATATTAGAGTTCAACAAATAATTTTAAACATAGTCATAAACAATTTGGTTTTATGAAAGTTATTAAAAGAGTGACGTTTCGTCTTTACTCAAGACATCTAGTTAGTCTGAAGACACCTAATTAGTCAAGACATTTTACTCAAGACACCTAATTAGTCTGAAGATGTCTTGAGTAAAGACGAAACGTCACTCTTTTAATAAATTTCATAAAACCAAATTGTTTATGACTATGTTTAAAATTATTTGTTGGGCTCTAATATTTATATTGAGAACTACAGCATCAACTAATTTCGTTGATAGCGACGACTTTGTCAAATGACATCAATTTTAATTCTTGTGTTTTGATGGATATATATTTCTTTAATGCAAGACTTTTTGTTTATTTAGATGTCCTTGAAAACATCAAATATACGTGGGTAGTATACATTATGCGCATGGCATTTGGCAAAATATCAAGGCAACTAATTAGAATGCGCATTATATACGTAATATGAAAGTTATATAACAATTGCCAGAGTAGTTAGGAAAAGTTTAAGTCAAGTGTCACATTTCCGTAACAAAGTCGAAAGAAACAGGAAAAAATTTATCAAACAATTTATTTAGAAATATAACTAATAAGAAATGAGGAAAAGTAGAAGAACAATCCAATAAGTTAAAACTTATCAATTTCACCTGTAATAAGTGACTTTATGGTTAACACACTTGATGTTTGTACATTCGATGAATTTTTCACAAGAGATTAATTTAACACATTTTATTTTAACACATTGCGTAATTCGCTGAAAATCTCTACGTGCTTGACATTAAATTTTTAAGATCTATTTTACCTACAACATCGATGAAATTAAATTGACATTAAAACTTCAAATCTAAACATTTATGCACCGAACGATATGACTGTAGTACTTTGAGAACATAGAGATGTTAGCAATAGAAAATTACTTCCTCAATCTCAAAGCAAACTAACACATTCCTTAATAACAATTTTATTCTACATCATATATTTCTTTGTTGGGTATTTTTCGGCAAAGGGAAGCGCGCCGCCGCTTCGCCCATCACCCTAAATCCGCCCCCGTCATATTACACCCCCTAAATTTCCATTAAAAAGTAATTTAGTTTCAGGTATCATTGACTGAGGAATTACTCCAAAGTTAGTTAAAGATTTAAGTAAAATGTTTTGAACCTCGATTGTTTGCATGGAGAATTCTTCAAACTTATTGGCAAAACATCAAGCTAAATCGCTTTCATTTAACAATCACATTTTCGATATTGTGCATGAAAATTCTAGTTTTCAGTTCACATTCACGTTACTTAGCAAAAAATAATTCGAAACTGACCACAATAGTAAAACCACAATGCGAAACCGAACTGTTATGATAAATAATTACATGCACATAAGCAACCATTTTCATTGTTTAGTTAACGTCACAATACTAACTAAAACGTGACTAAAGATAACCTCAATTAACTTGCCTAGCGCATATCATGTATGATAATGTATGATATAATGTTGTACACCAAACATATGTACTCCAAGATTTTAACATAATTATCGAATCCAATGAAAAACAGATTAGTAGCTACATCATAAAATAATGTATGATTACAACAAAACGAACCGTCTTTTAAAAGACTATTTAGAGCTAATGGTTAATTTTACTTGACTTGCCACGGCATTTTCAAATGATTACAAGTTAAGAATGAAAGGGTTTTAAAATAAAATAAAGATATTTGCACAGACAGATTTCTTTATATAGACACAATACCTTTCCCCATAGTAATAACACCAGGTACTATACACCACTAACCAATATACTACCAAACTCTATTTAGAAAACAAAAATGTAACAAATTACATGAACATACTGTGAATGAAGCTTGAGTGAATAATATATTTCTGTAATGAAAAAAATCAGGTAGCCACACATGTTTTTCGAAAAGATTTTATGTTTTGGACTGAATGCTTTCAAAAACATTATGAAAATTTCCGTCGAAACTGATTTGCGGTTAGCACACAAAAACACATCATCCTTATTCTGACAGCGCATTTCGGAGGCAAGGAAGAACTTTCACTCCTTTCGAACAAACTGGAAGATTCCAGGTAGCAAAAAGTAGAGCAAATAAATAGAACCGACGCTTGAGATTCATTCATACTTAGTACTCGGCTGCACATACAAGAACAGCTGAAGACTGTCAAAAAATAGCAAACCAAAGAAAATCGAAATTATTGTGAGAAATCGTTCGCTCGCTCATATTGGAAAAAGAAAAGCAATGGGTGAGTCAGAACTACAGTTGTTGTAAAATTATCGGCAGTTTATATATTGGTAAATGTAATGATTTCTTCAGCGAATACTTTTTTAAAACAATAAAAATGGAGCACATGAATTTAAAATCTTACAAAAAAAAACTGACAAAAATTATCTCACAGTAGGGCGGAGCTCTGATCTCATGCAATACTGAATGATAATTAATTTGCAGTAACTCTAACATAAGCCAATATGCGTCATAAGATCTAATCAAGTTAGCTTGCTATTAATAAAAACAGTGCCGGACCGGGGTACGTCAAAAAATAAATTACTGCTGCTCCTTTTACAATATATTTACAAGTTTACAAACATTTTAGATGCAAGTGCATTGGTAAACTTATATTCATTAGAAATTTCGAACCAATAGTGTTTTTGAAGGTATTTTTCGAATATAAAATCGAATTGAGCTATATAACTTTATTTTGCCGAACGCTGAGTCCGCTTATGATTTAAAAACAAATTTTGTCGGCAAAAAATATTTGGAACTTTAACATACATAGACGTTTTCCGCCGTTCAAACAAGGATGACGTTATTACAAAAACTCTCTATACAAAGAGATATTGAAACAATGACGCAAAAAACGTCATTTGCAGTAATGAGTGCGTGACTAACAATGTACGTATTGTATAAAAATACCTATTTTACAAAGTGTTATAAAGTCTTTATTTTCAATGACTAATATTACGTACACATTTACACAATATCTCATCAGATAAGTAAATACGAAAGTATACATAAACATAACAATACAAAATTTGCATCTACAGCAAAAGATTATCTCGGGAAGATATAACGACAAATTTGTCTTGATTTAGAGTAAAATTTGACGATTCTACTAAAATACTTGTCTGTTTAGCCCACTTGCCTTTGTGAGTACAAATTCGAGCAAAAAAAACTTTTGGCAAGATATAGCATATGACATTAAACGCGCATAGGTGTAGTTAGAGCATGAGTCAGTACAGACAATTTCGTCATCGCCTGTTTAAACGTACTTCGCATACAATTGTAATTGCTGTAATTTCATCAGCGATACCTTCCAACTGATTTGATACATTCCAACTGATTCGATACACTCCAACTGATTTGATACATTCCAACTGATTTCATACATTTCAAATGATTTTATACATTCGGATTCAAACTGATTTTATACAATACAAATGATTTACAACACTACCTATTCATAAATAGTTGTAGTTGTTGTAATTCAGGTGATACTTACTAGTATCAAATTTGATCATTTATCGTACAAGAATTCGAAAGTAAAGATGAATTGCCATCGCCGATAATCGTTCACGTGTAAATTTCTTATGTTGTAAATGTTGTAAGAGTTGGACAAGTTCAACTTCTTGAACAGCTCTCGATTTGTCTGCGATTAAATTACAACAATTACAACAATGACAACGCGCGTTATTTATAGTTGTAATTGCTGCAAACGTTCATCACCGATCGAATTACAACAATTACAACTATATGTGAACTAGGCTTTATGGTAAAGTTGGTGCCGATCGTTCACACGAAATCTTGG